GATAGAAAACACACAGCATTAGGAGATGAAGCAGAAGAAGGCATTCCGAATGAAGGGACTGGCTATGGAGTAGGAATTTGGGATTCAGATTCCAGCAGAATCATGGATTATTGTTTTAGCACCATCTCCAGACCTAATCTAGAGGCCCTCACAAATGTCTGTTTGATTAATGCAAGGGGATTTTTACATGGGGGTAAATTGGCTAGAGTATGAATCTAACAACTTACAACCAGGAGAGGAATGTTCATGTTAACCAAGTTAACCTGGCTAACACTCTGAAAAATGTCATGATTTTAATCGCATAACCTTTCCTGTATATGTGTGCCATGTTTGAATTGTGATTGTGCATCACGGAAGATGAAGTATGATGTATATACTCAACTGCCAAATTTTTCAAAACCCCTGCCTCAGGCTTTGGTCGACACTTTTGAACAAGTCATGCATCACCACTGCTTCCGATATGTAGCCCATATGTCCTTGTGGTGTAGTGTTTGGCTACGGGGACAAGTTTGCCTTTGTATTGGTATCAGGATAATTTTTTTGCTTAGTACCATTATGCCTGTCAGGTTTTCATTGTTATTTGTTAAAATATGACCTAATTACAAACCAGTATGTTTATGGTAGTGCTAACCTTATGCTTTGCTGGTGCTTCTTGTTTAAATGTGGTTGACATAGTGATGGGTGGGACAACAGCACCCGAGTTCCATTTCTCAGGTTCCTGACCTACATGGATTGCCTTTGTTGCAAATCCTGGATCTTGTTGTAAGAAACCTTCTTCAGACATGATCTAGTTAGAAGTGGTAACAAAACATACCTAATTAATTATATACACGAAGAAACAAAAAATACCCTTCAGATTTTAAAAATATATTTTGTGGACTGCAAGAACATTCACCAGCATCACAAATAATTATATTTAGGCAATTAAATAATACAAATTGATAAATTATAGACTTTCACAAATGTGATAATGAAGACTTACTTGTGTGTTACCAAATATGTGAAAGAATTGAAAACGTGAAATTTTTCAGCAGCTGCTGAATGACACGGTTATTGTCTCTCTTCATGTCTGATCTTGTACAATATGCAGCGAAGGCACTAACAGTTCATTCTGACATGTGCACTTTGCTGGTAAACAGAGTGTGTGAAAGGTACCAGAGTCAGTTCAGCCAGCAAATTTTCAGAACTCGGTACATAAGAATGTCAAAAGTTGAAGAGCAAATGAATATTAATTTTATGCAGAACTGAATAAGACATTTTCACAGACTTAAAACATGAACAGTGAAGCTGAGAGGACAAGGCAATGAATTGTGCTGCATTGAACAACTGATTCTGGTATTTTACCTTGTGAATACATATTCTCGTTAATGAACTTTATTGTAAATAACCAAGAACTCTTTCAAACTAATTCTGCTGTACACAGTGTCAACACAAAGAATAAAAATCAGCTTCATAGACCAATTGCCAACCTCTCATGCTTTCAGAAGAGTGCATATTATGCAGGGATCAAAATTTTCAACAGTGTACCATCAAATCACACAAGTCTTGTAAATAAGAAGGAGCAATTTAAGGTAGCATTAAAAAGATACTTAATTACACACTCCTTTTACTCTATCAATGAATTTATGTTGCTTACAAATAAATGATAAATTTTTCTTGTGTGTAATGGGTAGATCTATTTGTAGCTTATCATTTCTCTAAGTGAATACTTTGTTTTGTATTATGTGAAATTTATATAATAGTATGAATTGTACTTTATAATATGTATTTCATTATTATTATTTTTATTATTATGACTATTTCCACATCCTATTGTCATCTGACTGTCTTATGGATCCATGGAATGTAAATAAATTATTATTATTAAGAAGGGCGGACAGTCACTGGTGGATGACCCAAGGAAGGAAACACCAGTAGCAGCTTGAAATGAGATCATCCCATGTGAAAGAAGTCATCTCAGAGGACCATACATGACTGATCCATGAAGCTAACCAACAATATAAAAAGAAACAAAATCTAGCAAAAAAAATATTAAGAGCAATATAAATAAGGACTGTGACAAGTTCTCAGTATGAATAATATGAGAAATATGAAGTTGTTCAAGATGATTTTATCCCTTCCCTTTAAACAAATCCAAAACTTTTCTCACAGCTGCATAAACTGAGGCATGCTATGGTAGTACCTACTGTGTTTTTATTGTTAATATAAAATTCACCTCTCATATTAATCACAGATATTTACCACTTAAGCTCCATCACAGAACTTGAATTACCTCTATAAAAATTATTTAAGTAGTTTAAAAACAATCTGTAATAGTATCAGTTCCTCACCACACAAAGACACAACTTCTTCCACTTCTTATATGTGTAGTCAGACAAATCTGAAGCGTTCCTATTAAAACCTCAAAGGATTTTATATAACTGGTAACTATGACCAGCAGTTTTACTAAGCATTTAATCTGTTGACAGTTCAAAAATCAACTGAAGTATTTATACAATGTTTCATCACTTTCTATATATATATATATATATATATATATATACACTTTTATAATAATCTTTATTTATACACACATTTCAAGTAAAGCATTTTCAGAGATGAATCATGATGTCCTTATTATGTTTTAATTTTATACATTTCATGCAATGATTGCACAGAAAGTAACAGTAGATCACTAGTTGCATATTTTCTGTCAACATGAAAATCTGAGTTACTTACATTACATTTACATCACATTAAAATTAAATTGACTTAAAATATTATACGTGTTAACACCACTTTTGAAAAATCTCAACTGCCTGTCTGAAGTACAACACACTTCACACTTACCAATGAGGTACTGATAGCTCACAAAGAATACTGTATCATGCAGGAAATCATCATATACTTGGCCTTGAGATGTGCTGACAAATACCTGCAATCTTGTGCTGCACTTAGACATGACTCATTCCTCATTATAAAAAGAGACAAACTGAATTTATGCGTTTTATGTATTTATAGTTTATTTAATGATACTTTTCAGTAGCTCAGACCATACAGCATCAAATGAGAGGATTACAGTTAATAATGAATTGAAAACGATGTGAAAGGAAGTGAACATAGCCTAATTTAAGTCACTATCCTGGCATTTGCTGGATGGACTAAGGAAAAGCCAGTCAGGATAGCTGGTGTCCGGGCCAAGATTTGAACCCAGGGCCTTCCGAATATGAAGCAGACGTGTTAACCACTTAGCCATGACGTTCAGTAAATTTTATGTAATAGTAAAAAATGTATATACACTTTGTACCAAAAAACTGTCATTAAAACAACACTTAAAATTTCAAATTAAGTGAGATCTATTTATACAAATACAAATTATTTTGGCCTTACGCAAGTTGTATTTATTCTCTGTTCTAAGAACCTCAGGCTTTCAAATATTGGTACAGTGTTGATGAAATGTGAGCATTACTATCTTGGATGAAGCAAATGTTGAGTTAGTCTTCCCCAAGACTCAGCTTGTGAATCACATTCAGGATTTCCTGGAATCAAATTCCAGGTATCTACTTTTCATTTTGTGTCCCCACCCATAACAAAATGCCACACAAAACATAGTACAGTGGAATTTCTTTAAACCGACCTATAAGAGGGGAACCATACGTTGGATATGCCGATGAAGTCGGATGAGCGAGGGTTAGGGGAATGTGGTTATGGATATGAAAAAAAGATGTTGAAGACAAAGACATAATTAGAAAAGTTGAAACAAAAACATTTAAGCCATTGTTATAAATAGTGAAATATACTGATATTCAATATAGATTTTCCTCGGCAGATGATGCGGGCGTTTCGCACGGACAAGCCGACGGCAAAAACAGTCACTCGTGAGCGCTGTTCGAGTAAGTCCTTGTATTAAAACAGATAATTTATCAGTCATTCTGAGTCGCTGTCCATCACATAAAGTGTAGGTTCCGGTGTGATTCTGCTGATGTCAGAAGATCTGATTGCTCGCCGGTAGAAACCGATCGCAACCGATCTGATTGAAATTCGGCCGGTTAATACGGGAGTCGGATAGCAGAGTTTTTACTGTACTCTGGTGACTGGTTTCTACTACAATAACTGACTGATCATTATTTTCTTTGAATTAACGGTGACAGATGGAATCGAACCTGCGACCTTTGGTTGCTCCCAGAAATTACCTTTATCAGCCATATGTTTCAAAAGCCCAGCTGTTGCTGAGTACGGCATTGCCACAATACAGGATTCAACTTTCTGTCATTCCCTAATTCAAGAAATAACAGATGGCTACAGAAATTTAACTATCGGAAAAACTGAGCATGGCCCTTGAAAACTGATGTTGAAGCTATCAGTGTCCAAAAGTGGGGGAAATAAGGGTGACAAACGTAGGCCAGAATTTCGGTATCTTCTCGGTAACGCCAATAGAAAAATAAATTAGTAAAATCAGTTCTCTAAAAGTCGTACCACCGCGTATTCTCGTGTGCTGAACATCGAATTCCTTATTTAGACGATGTCAAAAGAGAGAAAGTGTATAGAGCAGGCCTACACATAACTTCTTTACAAGTTCATCGGTAAAAAAATGTTCCAGTTTAGCAGACCGCACTAATATGATTCACATGGCTACTGTACGTTAGTGACTAGCAATTGCATTAATGTTATTATATAATACTCACCACATCTAATAACCCTTTCGTTATTATTCGGAAATATTACAAACGACGAATACCACTTTCCTGTCTGCTAACAATTCGTACACGCTGTCGGTATATTCATCTATGGCCATTGATAACATTCCTCAGAAGATGGCTGTCTTCTGCGCTGATGCGCCGTGTAGTCTGTTAGAAGTTTGCCAACGTTTCAGAGGTCCCTGGTGCATCCATCATCAGGACGATCTCTATTATGTGAAACAACAGAGGTAGGGCGGGGAACCAGATCGTATCGTGAGCACGGTCAA